TATTATTTTAACGTATCAGAATCAGATAATACTTAAATGTACAAAAGCTTAACATTTTTTATACCTTATATTGTTTTTCAACGTGTTCGTACTACATGATAGGTAATTTTTGTACGGTACAGCTAAATGTATTGAATAGGCCCAAATTATTAGTTTTTACTCATCGTAATTTCAAACAACTATGAAAAAATGCTTTTAACTAATTGTGTGGATTCGAATGAACATTATTGAGGCGTGTAAGACATCATAAAGGTTTTGTTATTTGATTAGTGTTCTAAACAATAGTGCTAACATTATCTTCGGAATAGTTATTTTACAACAATTGATTGCCAAAACTCTCCCTCGTGGTCTTAGAGGGTTATGTGTTAATTCTAACCTTATCAACCGACCGAGTCATACATACCCTAAAACATATACTATTTACAGATATAATGGATAAGTAATTTTCCCATGACGTGGTAGTATCAGTATAGGTTAGGTTTGGTTATGTACCTGATTTTGTAAATGTATTTGAACGATGAAACATGTCATGGTCAGTTATACAATACTAACTCTTAACTCGGAACATAAGCTTTTTATTTTATAATGTCATTTTATTTGTTAATTTTCCAAGGATTTTTAATCTTGTCTAAAAATATATATATAAATATAAAATTGGAATCAAATCTTTTCAACTTCCCTTTAATTCATCTCATAGGCAGTCGAGTTCGCCAAATTGATTCAACTGCAAAATGCGATAGTCTAAAAGCTATTTTGCCTCGTGAGTAACATATTCCGTGTAAAATTGTTTAGTGAAAATCGATATGCCAAAATTCATTGTTTGGGTCATATTATATATAAGCTCTTGTGGTTGCTATACTGTATCTGTGTTTAGATTCTACATCACAGAGTTAGAGAAGTAGAATTATACATATATGTGATCATGTTGCTTGGCCTACAAACTGTCGAATAGTGACCAATCCAGACATAAGTAGTACAATACTTTAATTATAAGTATACACTGACAACGCTTATGTCCTTATAGCCTACTTACTTGATGCTGTGTCGGTTGACTGGCAGCGTGCTGCAGTTCTACGTCAGATCCTCGGCATCTCAACACACCCAAAAACTGTTGTGAATCACATCACTTTCTCATAAATACAGCTCTCGGATGTCCGATAACAACACGTCCATTGTACTTGGTAGTCAACGCTACAGCACCAATGATAAAGCAGTTAGCATAGATAAACTAAAATTTAGTCGTCTCATTTAACGGATAGGCACGTACGTAGTACATATACGTACATACTGATAATCACTACAGTAGGCCTACTGTACAACCATGTTTATTTCTTAAATTTTAGTATGAATGAATTAAAGAAATACTGTAAAGAAAACCATTAAGATCAAGCATAACAGGGAAAACGCGAGTGCATTTCGACAAGATGGAAATTAACCAATTGCATGGACGTCTTAGTGAAATATATTGCCCTACTTCAAAATAATTGAAATCGCCACAAGTATAAATCTCCCATAAGTGATGTAAAACTCAGATTTAAGACAGTAAATTTTATATTATAAATACTATTTGAGTATAATTTCCCAGGATGGCAATAACAATGCAAACTTAGCATGAGGATAATCTTTAAATATAATAGGTAGTGTTTAAAGATGCAGATGCAGGATAGTGTAGTGTCAGCCGAGCCCGGGGGAGCAATATTAATCCTCGCCTGATTGCTCCGACTGCCAGGAAGGAACCCAGGAGTGCGCTAATTTTAATGAAATCGCGAACTCGGGCGAAGTAGGAAATTAGGGGAATATCGATTGAGAACGTCTTAAGACTGTGGATGCACTTGGGGGGGAGCGCGTAGGGGGCCGCGGGAGGGGGCACCGCTTGGAGGGGGAACTACCGAACTCTGCCGAACTGCACCGAAGTGCATCGCCGAGTTGGGCAATGCAAGGGTCTGGTGCATGGCTGCCAATGCAGTTTTTCGCTAGTGCACGTTGCACATTTTGTGCATACCAAGGCCAAACTGAATTGAAAGAGCCTCTCCCGAGTTAGTCTTCACCCGAGCGGCCCTTCGGACGCACCCGGCGCGCGTCTCCCCCCGAAGTTTTATATTTTTATTTTATAACCTAAAAAAATATTCCGTCTCCGCATCATGTTTAGTGAGTTGGAAAAGTGCAGTTTTGACAAGTGTGTGTAGTTTTTGAAGATGTTTGGACCCGTTCTACACCTCCGAGAACAAGTGAGTCTCCATATAATATATTTTGTCATAACTATTTACTGTTATTGTTCTTTGACATAACCTAGTTGCAGTGCTTACGCAAAGTCTGTCGTAACTTTTGTCTAGTTCAACCTTGGCCTGGTTCCCGCTGTTTATAAATACTTCCACTCGTGTCAGCCATTTTTTATACTCGATAACTATCGTCGCCGATGTTTTACTTCCGCATTCTCTCTGGGACGAAAAATAAATCAGCGCGGTTCTCGATGTAAACTTTACGACTCATGCGCACCGCATTCTAAATTACACTTGGCAATATTTGTCTGTATACAACATTAGGAAATTATGTCATGAAATGTAGGTCTGAACTAATCGAATTAGGGGGACTAACCCAGTTCTTTTTGACCCATATATAAGGTTTCACTGCACATTAAAACTGCACTGTATGACGCAAACGTCTAATTTTGTATGTTGCTTTAATAATTCTGGTCCACTGAAAAATAATTCGGATAAACGGCGGACGATTTTCTTATTACAATATGTTAATACTATTTTAAGTTAGTAATTACTGTAATTAATAAAAATCAGAATTCAAATAGTAGTTCAGTATGAGTACTTTTATAAAACTTAGTCAAATCAAATTTTTGAATCAATTGGGTATTGAAAATTAGTATTAAAACGTTGAACAGTAGTTAATTATTGTTGTTAAACTATGTAGGCGTAGATTATACCTTTATAACGTTTTAAATCCCGGAAAATATTTTTTTGGCTTCGGGAGTGAAAACTGTAGATAATTTTAAAATTAATTTTACTATTGAATCACACAGAATATACGAACAAAGGTAATTATGTTGTATATTAAGTACATATATTACAAGAATAAGTCAAACTATTCAACCAATTTAAAATTAAACTCTACCATGCTAGCCCCAAAAATACAAGTATACATGGATGTGATACCGTTGTACATTTATAGAAAAACATTTGTTTTTAAATTGGAATATTCTGTAAATAATGACAATAGATTGAGGTTTGATTTTAGCATCCCCTCTTTAGCTGGTATAATTTAGACACAATTAAATAACAGAACCTTGGTGGTGTACTGTTAAAAGCCGTTTTAATATCAACAGATATTAATATAAACTACCAAAAGTAAATACCAATATTTTGATAGCTTCTTCGGCTTTTATCATTAGTACTCTATATTATAATACACATACATTATCTGATGATATTTTAGACTCAAGCGTTACTTCGCTGATTCTTTTTATATAAAACAAAATGTATTGCTAGAAACGCAGCATACTGTGATTGGATTGTATAAACACACTTGCGATCAATGTCATTTTAAAGAGTGTTGTTCTGGTGTACGGTTTATCACAACACCGTTATCAACACTACAGTATTAATGTACCACTCTAGAGTTGCGATTGGCAGGACAAGCAATCGCCGCCGAAACCGTAGAAACTCCATCGACTCCGTGATAATGCAGTCGACTGACCTCCAAAATCCGGTTATTCTCTGCTGTAATCAACTGCAAATGACCTCTGCAACTGGCTGTTTTTGTGCGAATTATCAGTCCAATTAGGGTTGTGCATAAGGCAAACTCTAAAACTAACGCAATTGTGCTATTTACGATAATAATTGTAGTCTTCATAAGGCACCATTGTGTACATTCTTAGCCGTAATTTTTTTTTTTAATAATTTAAAACTGTATGAAAACATCATGCATGCTGCTCGTTGCATTGTAATTTTTTTACAATTGCCTTGAGGGCAATTTATAAACTATAAATATAGTTGAATTGACAATGGAAAACCACCAGCTACCAGAGTAGTTCTAAAACATATAATAACCTATGTTAAGCCATTACCCAATTAATTTAACTCCATTATGACCGTTCCCCCAAGACCACTCATAACCAGTTTCGCTTATTTTAACACACACATCTTATAATAATAAAGTTACAAGTTAAATTATTACTTGGAAATACTTAAAAACGTCGATTTATCCTATTTCTATTCTTGCTACAAGTTTAAAAGACTACACTGGGATATAGATGTATCTTGAGGATAGATTATGTGAATATAGGAAATATAATAAATAATAATAATGTTACCTTCTTCCGTTCCAAATGATCGTAGTTATTCTTACGACGCGTTTCGTCAGCACAGTGACATCATCAGGTATCCGCTATCGCTTCGTCATGAATATATTAACATAAAACAGTCATTGCACAATACACAAACACACATTTAATACATTTAAAGACCGGTCGTTGTTGTCGTCGCGGTGGCCACAACTCACGTACGCACATGACTAATTCTGGGCGACGACTAGTAGGAAATGAATTCTAATAGGAAATATGTAAGCGTTAAATAGCTTATCGGCTTCATTACTAAATCTGAAATAGTATCTAGGCTATAGCAGATTATTGTATGCTTAGTTTGAGGACCAGGTTCTAAGCTGAAGGTTTTATAATAAATGTTTATCATAGATTTTGTCAATGTCAAAACTTAGCGTTGTTTGGTCAAAACACTTGGCGGCGAGTGTATCACTATTATGTATTAAAAGACAATTACATAAAAACCACCCATCGTAGCATTCTAGCATTGACTTTATATCTACACAGTGTAGATATAAAGTCAATGATTCTAGTAATGTACAAGACTATAAAATTAATTCTTAACTTGTGTAGCAGATGTTAGAATTACTATTTGTTACAAAAAATATTGTTCGGAACACCAAAGCACATATCCAAATTAGAAGAGGGTGTTCTAGAAAATTATAGGAATTCATCAGTAGTAGGTAGGGTACACCTATATCAGTAAAATATTGCTTGACCTATGGTTAAGTTGTACTGGTTCTACGGTGTAAACTTTTATAGTTATTATTGGTGGAGTTATTCTTCCGTACTAATGCCTGTTCATACCAATGAAAGCAAATGGGACGATAAATTACTAAATGACTCTAAAAGTAGTGTGGATCTTATCTCTTTCACTGTTTAAAACCTGAGATTAATATAATATCACCTCCACTGTGCGCTAAAACATACAGTATATTGATTTCAGTTTGAATAAAAGTCCACCCAGAACATGTCTTTTAGCAGTAAAAGCAATGTTTTCATCAATTATATTTTAATGCTGGTCCATATTTAATAAGTACCGGTACTGTACTAAAATACGGCGAAATCTTCGCTTTGCGTGAAGATTCGGTGCATTGAAAGTTTCCGTAAATATTATGTGAACAGATCTTTTACCTTCATAATGGAACGAGATGTATAAATACGGTAATCTAAACTAAAATTGGTGTTCTAACTACCGTAAATGAAGACTTTACCAGGGGTTTTTTTGACTGCATTAACTCCTATTGGTTAGTTTTTTTTAAAATTTATTGTAAAAAATATTCGGTAAATTTTTGATCAGGCTAAAACATGCCTGGCTTGCTGAAAGTTATTCAATATACGCGTTACATTTGTACACAGCGTATTTCTTACAAATATTAAGTGATTTTGATAAAATAAAAAAAATAATAAAATAAATAAAAACTATAGGGATTATATAATGGTACAGTGCACTAAGCACTGTAGTATGCTGGTTCCAAATATGGACGAGTTTTTTGAGAGTATATCACAATATTTTAAAGTAAACAGGATTGAAAAATTTATAAACATTATCGTTTTAACTATAAACAATTGATAGGCAAAATTGAATAGTGAACAACCACGACATAATCTAATAATAGTTCAAATATGAGAACCTATAAACTCTTTGGTTGGATCAATAATTCGAAACATGCATGGTGACATTTAATGTAATAGTTTATAAATCATATCCACCTATTTGACCCATAAATTTACAATGAATCATCTTTTTCATTTTAAATGTATGGGAACTGTCTACATACAAGTTAGACATTTACACCCTGGTCCCTGTTTTGAATTTTTGAAGAAATGTTTATTCATATCAGATTGGCATAACATAATATACGGATGCAATTGTATTTTTCCTTAATAAAAAGAATAATGTAACATTTATGTAAAACACTATATTGAAGACTCGTACGCATATAACTACATGTTAATCGATGTGGTAAATTATTGGTTAAAACCTAAACAATTAATGATAAAATCAGAACTTGAACATGATAGGCTAATTTAAAATCAAACTGTCTGCTGTTTTAGCTTTAAATGGTTGTATTTGCACATTAGGTCGGCTTTACTGCTCAACAGTTTTAACCAAAATCAAATAATCACGAAACATCAATTGACTACTGTGAACCACATTGGCCCAATTCAGCAAATGTTATAGTGTTGCAATTTCGAGGTGTAATCATGAAGAATTACCTAGAGAGTAGTATTGAATTAAGCTACGAATAATGCTGCTTATAGGCCTATATTTTGAAGTGTAGCTATTGATGTATCTGTGTTAGATATTACAATTTCGAAGATAAGTCTATTTTGTCTTTGCCTTGATCTACGACGCCTACACATGGCGCCAATCTGGGTTTGAATTCCCAATTAGAAAATACTGTACTTATATTCTACAGTTTTACAATTTACTGTTCCTGATTGTACCAACCTTTAAGCAGAAGAGTTGTTGATCAGCGAGTCTTAAATAGTTTGCATTTGGTAGAATTTATAAACTCACAGAGTACAAATATAACTGTCATCAATGTGATACTTTTAACCAAACTATCAGCGACCGTAAGATCAATTGCAGCTCCGTTATGACATTAGAAAGTAAAAAGAATACCAAGACAACGTAGTGTAGCCAACCCTCATAGGCCTACTGTAATGAGGCCTCATAGGCGAAATAGTACAGCAGTACTGTAGGCTATACAGTACAGTGTACAGGCTTCACTGGCCCCACTACAATTAATAACTAGTCCATATGAGTAACAAAACTCAATTATTAGTCCTTAATTAGTCTAGAAACTGCACTCGTTGTGCTTAACTGGCAGGATGGCGTGATCACTATACTAGTACTGAGTACTGTACTCCATATAGCTAGATACTCCTATAGAC